GCTTTCATGTTTGGGTTACAATCACACAATGATCAAACACCTATCCCTCCACCAGTGCACATTCCCCATCACCTATATCCCCGGTATACTCCCCCTTTCCCGCCTTCCCCCTGCCTCCATGGCAGACATTATTCCCCATAATCTCTCTCTACTTTTGGGCATTATGGTTTGCAATACAGACCCTGAGAGGTTATCATATTTGGTCCTTTATCCACTTTCTGCACACATCTCCCATCCCGACCGATTCCTCCAGCCATCTTTTTCTCAGTGATCCCTTCTCTATTCCAGCTGCCTTCTCCCCTTTGCTCATGAGGCAGGCTTCCAGCTATGGAGCAATCTATCTGTCCAGTGAATCTACTATCCTTAGGTGTCAGCCTCATGTTATGTTGTTTTTAACAATAAAACATACCATCAGCATGTAGAACCTTGATTTTTATATAGAAGATAAAAATAATTTAATATACTTCTTTAATATAAATATGAATTATAGCAGGATATATCACATTTTGTATAATTATGTTCCTTATACCAAAATGTATCAGTGTTGCTCATCAAAATTTAAATCTTTTCAATTCACCAATGTTTCCCAAACTGAACAATTCCACCCCTCTGGGGCACTAGGGTAATGGTAAAAGGCAGTAATTTAGGGGATACTTTGTACTTGTTTGCTTAAAGAAGGTAGATTTCCAGGACAGTGCAGGGTGCTTTTTCAGAAAAGGGTGGTAGGGCAAATAAGCGTGCGAACCTCTGCATTATGCCATGGTCTGTGACTATCCATGCCTCCATGCACCTGTTCCTTCAGTGTTCTCTGCCTGAGATACTTTAACCTTGGTTCTCATATGTATCTCTGCAGAGACTAATCTGGGAGATAATGAAAACATTTCTAGGGGGCCAGAGAGATAGTACAGCAGGTAGAACTCTTTACAGAAGGTAAAGAAGGTAACTTGCACATAACCAACCTGGGTTCAATCCCGGGCACCTCCTATGATTCCCCAACCCCCACCAGGAGTGATCCCTGAGTGCAGAGCCAGGAGTTAAATCCTGAACACAGCTGTGTGTGTGTCCGCAAAACTAAATATATGAAATCAATCAAAACATTTCCAAGTGCAAACCACATGCAGACTAATTAAATCACATGCCTGAGGCATAAGCACCTGTAGTTTTTGGAGCGATAGCACAGCGGTAGGGCGTTTGCCTTGAACGCAGCCAGCATGGCCGATTCGAGTTCGATTCCTCCACCCCTCTCGGAGAGCCCGGCAAGCTACCGAGAGTATCTCTCCCCACGACGTATTCGATATGCCAAACACAGTAACAACAAAGTCTCCAATGGAGACGTTACTGGGCCCGCTCGAGCAAACTCTAAGGTAATTCCCATATAGTTCCAAGTGTAATAGCCATTACCTTCATCATCTAGTTACCAGGCAAACCTCTATTTATCCTTCTTATAACAGTTTACTTAGACTGATGCTCTCCTAAACGACTTATCCTCCTAATGAAAAGGTCCTGATTTTCCCAGCAAATATATCTTCAATGTTGCACTGTAGGGCTGTCCTCTCTTTGTTCATCAATTTGCCCGATTGGGCATCAGTAACGTCTCCATTGTGAGACTTGTTATTGTTTATGGCATATGGAATATGGCACGGGGAGCTTGCCAGGTTCTGCCATGCAGGCGGAATACTCTCAGTAGCTTGCCGGGCTCTCCAAGAGGGACAGAAGAATCGAACCTGGGTCAGCCGCATGCAAGGCAAACACCCTGCCTGCTATGCTATCACTCCAGCCCATCTCCATTGTTACAAGCATAAAATATATTCTAACAGTTAACTTGAGTAGTTTCAATAATATACTATAAAATTCAGAAAATCCGTGTTTGTTTATTTTGGGCCACACTAGACTGTGCTCAGGGTTTACTCCTGGCTCTGCAGTAAGGGATCACTTCTGGTAGTGCTTGGGGAACAATGTGGGGTGCTTGGGATGTTGATCAAACCAGAGTCATCTTCTTGGAAGGCAAGAGCCTTGTCCGCTGTCGTGTCTCTCTGGCGCCAATTTTTGCATGTTTTCATTGAAGTCCCCAAGTCTATACTTGAGCCTGGAAGTACTCAATAAATTCAATAAAGGCATAAATTTTTCCTAAGAGGAACAAACATAAAAATATGGACTTAATATCTTAAATGCTATGGGAAAAGAAATAGTTTAAGATGTGTTTAGGATGCAGTTTTACATATGGGTAATGTCTCATATTTTGGAAAATGTCTAACCATATAGAGGTAAAGAGACATAAGAATCAAAAAGCAAGGTTGTTCCTCATGCCAATGTTCCTCATGCCCTTGAACACACATCCGTTTCCTTCTTTCCCCAAAACACCTTTCTAAATAAAATTTTTTTCAATAAAGATTACCGTATTTCACAAAAATGGAGGAATCAAGAGTAATCATAAAATATAAGCTTGATATTTCCTACAGAACTGGTTTTGTTCTTGTTTTGAGTACAGCAGCTATACCCTGCTGTACTCAAGGTTCTGTGCTCAGAGGTCATTCCTAGGGGTACTCAGGGGACCATATAAGGTCCTAGGATAGAACAGGTATTGCCATAGGCTAGGCAAGCACGTCACCTCCTATACCATCTCTCCAGCCTCCAAATTTCGTTCTTTATTGTACTGTAAATAGAAAAGTATTTCTGCGTAAGAAATACCTAAAACAATTCACCACTTTCAGCTCCACTTCCATCTTCAGAGGATTAACTGTTGTTATTCCAAGCAATCCTTTCAGAATTTTATGATGTTTCAGGGGTTTATAAAACTGATTTAAGAGTTTTAAAGTACTTAGTTTGCAAAATGTATTATGTAAGAGTCTATGTTTACTGTGGTTTTCATACTCTTAATATCATCATTATGATTCAAAGACTATTCACAGTAAATTTTTGCTTCAATTTAATTCTAGACAATAAACCCAATCTTGGAACACGTTTATTTTTTTTAAAGCTGTTTAAAATATTTTGCCCTTTGCATTCTCTAAATTATTTTATATTGCAGCTATGTTTCCCAGTCTAACAATACGCTGTTCTTTATCTGCTAAATTTTCCTGTATGAAGTCTAATAAGAAATGAACTGCTTTCTGAGAAACTGTTTTTTTACATTTGTCTTTACATGAGAACTGCTAGATTATCTCATTAGATATTACATTTGTTTAAGGTCTTACCAGTTACTATTCAATATACACGCATTCAGTTTAAAATGATTCAATTAAATGTTCAATATTCACTCATTGTAAACGTCTATTGAGAGACCAGAGCAATAGTACATTGCTATTGGGGGCAGGGATTTGCTCTGCATGCGGTAGACCTGGGTTTTATCCCAGCGCCTCATTTGGTCCCTTGAGCACTGCGGGAGTAGTCCCTGGGTGCAGTCAAAAGTAAGCCCTGAGCATCTCCGGGTATGATGCCCCCTTCCATGCCTGTCACTGTCACTGTCCTCCCGTTGTTCATCAATTTGCTCCAGCGGGCCCAGTAATGTCTCCATCGTGACACTTTTTACTGTGTTTGGCATATTGAATGCCTCACGGGTAGCTTGCCAGGCTTTGCCTTGGGCAAGATACTCTCGGTAGCTTGCCAGGGTCTCCGAGAGGGGCGGAGGAGTTGGACCTGGCTTGGCGGGGCTGGCTGCACGCAAGGCAAACGCCCTACCGCTGGGCTACCGCTCCACTATTGAGGAAAAAGTGTCATCCTCCACTTTCAAATATCTATGCTGTAATCAACTCTGATATTAGTCAATTTTAGTTTTTGAAATTAAATGCTATTAATTTAAAAGGCAGTCCTTGACTTCCGTTTTACAATGTTAAGTCATGAGTTTAAATCTTAAATGCAATATACTTGGAGATCTCTCCTTTATTAGAAATAAGTTTCGAAGGTATTATCAGTGGTGGAGACAAAAATGGCCATTTCTAATACCAAGTCCTAATGTTATGGTTGATACCCCCAAAAGTAAAACCGATGAGACTATTCCAGTTGAGTTTTAGCGATAAGACGAAAACGACTTTCTTCAAACAAGGTGCACAGCCGTACTCTCAACCAGTAATAACCAGCTTTACATATTTATATTTGGATCAAAAGAACTGGGTAATTTTAAGGCTGCTTTTGTCAGCATAATTGTGATATGAGGCATTCTTACTCAAGACTCCTACTTTTCCTTCCTTTCTGTAATAGAGAGCCCTGCGGGGCGTTACTGACACCCATGGTCTATCTAGGGTCACCTGGTCAGCACTGCAAAGGGGACCTAGGAGGGTGGAAGCCCTGGGGATTGGGCCAGATGAACCCTAGCTGGGGGCCAGGGCGCCGTTTCCAGCCCATCAGAGCGGCAGAGAGAGCCTATGAACTCCATGAGGCAAGGAAACCTCCTTCCCTAGCTTCCACTCGAGGTACCATAAAAAAAACACCTCTCGGCTGGGTGCTCTGCATCACCCGCCTCGGGCGGCCACGGGGAGCCGGCAGGTGGTATTTGACGTGTCTCAGGCACTGAGACCACAGGGAAGAGCGCTCGGTCTACAGAATAGGAGCGGGACGCTCTCGCTACAGGGGCAGTGTCCTCTCCGTCCAGGCTCTGAGCCGCGAGCGCGCCGCGTCCCAAAACGGGTGGGCAGGCGGGTACGGGACTGTGGGGAGCGAGAGGAACGAGGAATCACGAGGCCTCTTCCGTGGGCACCGCCCCATCTCTCTGGGGCCACCGCCCTCAAAGAAGATGCTCCGGCTGAAAAATTCCCGGAGTCAGACCACTGGGCCCGGGCGCCACAGGGGTGGAGTAGAGCTCGTGCCGAGCCAGGGCGGGGACTCAGGGAGGATCATTGATACCAGAGGGGAGAGCTGAGAGTGTCATCTCTCACTTCTGCCTTCGTCACCCCGAAAAAGGCTTAACACATGACGGTGGTCCACCTCGCCAAGTCACTTTTCGGCTGAAGGCCTTCCTCTCAGGCGACTCTGGAGGGTGACTCCTCTACTTTCTTGAGCCCCTCTCACTTAAGGCACCCCCGGTCGGACACTTGGTTGAGTCTAAGGCGGGACCGCCGGGAGCTACACGTGCGGCGCGGAGCCCGGAGTTCGGCTCCAGCGACTCGGCCGCCTCCCTCGCCAATTAGGGGCGGAGTCTGCGATGCGGGGCGGAGCCTCGAGGGCGGGGCGAGCCTCCGGGTGGGGGGTGAGCAGGGCGGAGTCTCGGGGAAGGAGAGGAGCCTTAGGGGCGGAGAGGGGCGGGGCAAGTCTCCGGGGCGGGGCGGAGTCTCCGGGGGCGGGGCGAGAGGCGTGGGAGGGAGGCGGGGCGAGCCCGGGGCGCTCGTCTGGCTTCCCCGACCCGCGGGCTGAGAAGAGTGGGGCAGCCAGCGCGCCGGCAGGAAGGGGCTTGGAGCTAACTCGAAACCGACGCTTGCTGCTCCGGACTTTTCTCCGAGGTAAGAGCAGGAACCCGGAGCCTGAGAGGTGGGGTAGGTTGTGGGGGAGCCACTCAGCCCGCCCCCCTTAGCCCGGCCTCCGCGCACCCTGCTCTCCCCTTGTGCCCCCTGCCGGCCGGGCGGCGGCGGGGCGGCTGGTTGGGGTTTGGGGACGATTGCTGCAAGTCGAGAGCCCCGGCCAACGCAGTGTCCCTGGGCTCCGCGTCTTTCTTCGCTTTCTTCTCGCTCGCTTGCCTTGGCGTCGGGCATCGGGCGGGAAGGTGGCCGCTCTCCGCCAAGTGAGAGCTCGCCCACGCCGGGGGCGGCAACCCGGGGCCCCCAGGGCAGCCGTGTTGGATCGCCGGGGAGGCGCGGAGCCCCGGGGCCGCGTCGCTGGTGGGAGAAGGGCCGGTCGGCGGTGCGGACCGCGTCCCCCGGGACTCGGAAGTCCGCGGTGGGTAGCTCCCGGGTGCCTATGTGGGGCTGGAAGGGCGCCTGGGTGTTAGCGCCCGGTCGCTGTGCCCGGGCCACGCTGCGGACCAAGCCTTTGCGTCCTGCTCTGCGCGGACCTGTGCCCGCCTGTTGTGCGCACGCCGGGACCCGGCAGCGGGGCTGCGGGGAGAGAACCCGATCGAAAGCCTCGTACCCATGATCCTTGAAAAGTGCCCAGTTCCCGGGAGTCCGGGGAGCCCGCCGTTGAGTTGGGAGCCAAGCTAAACCCGAAGGGGGCCTCGGTGGGATGCGAGTGGGGGGCGCGGCCTGCAGAATTGGGGGCTCTTGGAGAGCTTGCGGCGCGCAGGCCCGGGGCCGGGCAGAGAGGACCACCAGCCCCTCCTCGAGGAGGGCCAGAAACTGTCAGGTAAGGACAGCCAAGGGCCGCCGAGCGACATCCACGACCATTCTAAGCACCGCCAGTCCCGGGACGGCTGGACCCACGGATGGGGGCGTTTTCTTACGGCACGAAAACATGGAAAGCTGTCAAAATAAGCATATTTTAAAGTCGAAATGAAAGCTGGCAGGGTTTTCAGGCCGTGCCGTTGTGTATCTCATGTCCAAAGAAATACTGGCTCTTTGACGCCCCTTTTCGTCTTTATTTTTTAAAAGCAAAAATCGGTTGTGCCAGTATTGAGCTGTGTGTGCTTTACTCAGTCTAGGAGGAAAAACTTCAGAAGGCGTCCTAGGATTGCTTTTTTGATTTCAAGCCTGTGTCCTCCAGTTTTTGTATTTTTCCTTTTGACTGTTCAGAAAGTCTCTTTTGCAGGAGTTTTCTGTGTAGGATTCCTCTCTGCTTCTCAGGGACCCGGCGGCATTTATTGATTTTTTTTTTATAAGCATCAATTTACATTTAGTTTGTGCACTAAGTCCTCTCCTGTTACCACAGGGTGTAGTTTAGGGATTAGAAAATGCTGTTGGAGAAAGTTGCTAGTGGCTTCATTTTCCAAGAATGTAAGTCATTTCCTTTCTGTGATTTCAGGGAGTTGATATTTCACAGCATCAGAACTTTGTGGGGAGAAAATTCCCTCAGTACATCTGTCATTTATAAAAATCATTTTTAAGTTTTTGGATTTTTTCTTCTTGGATCAGCACATACATTTGGGCTGAGCAACGTGAAACACTGAGGGCATTTTTCAGAATCGACAGCATCAGGAGACTATGGTAGAAAGTAATTTTTAAGACCCACGGAGACCTACAAACAGCCTGCAGGATGGGAGTGGGGGAGGGGAGACTAGAAGAGAGGCCGGAAAACAGATGCACTGCTGTTGCCCCTTTGTAGTATAGAACTTCTAACACTTCATCCTTTTTCCTTGGGTGTGGTTTTGAGAAATAAAAGTTTAGTGTGGAAAAAAAATTTAAATGATGCACAATATGAGAGGACTGACATTTGAATTCTCTTTCATATGTTTGTAAACCCATTAGATTTATATATCATATTAAAATGAACCTTGGGAATTATTAGATGAGGAGGGTCCCCTTAGGGGATATCTACTATCAGGTTATCTGTGGAGTATCTTCTCCAGAAAGCAGCGGGCCTGTAATATGAACTCCCTCCCCTCACCCTCACTCCCCAATTGCTTCTAAGAATGCCTGAGCTCTGCCTAACACTTTACAGTGCTCAAAACATTTTCAGGAACAAGAATTTTTCTCGATTTACTCCCTTCCAGTTGGTGGAGAATTAATAGGGCAGATTACCAGCTATATACACACACTTTGAACTTGAAGATTTTAAGATGTTCCTAGCTCTGAAGGAAGATAATACTGCAGGCCAGAATGAAGACGGTTGCTTTTAAAAGCAAAATGTCTTTGTGTTAGATAATAATGTTTAGCTACAAGTTCTTCAGAAACTAATACTCAGTTCTTAAAAGCTGAAGGGAGTAGGGTGCAGTGTTTTAGAACTCTTCGAGTTTCAGGGCTTTGCTTCCACTTTTAGCTAAGTTTTAGCTAAGCTTTTTGGCCTTCAGAACTTATGACATTATTGTCTTTTGTAGCAGATGCTTGAAATGCAAGTTTCAAACCAAAATTGTTTCGAAGTGAACTGTCAGGTTCTGATTTTAGTGCAAATCAGTTCTGTCTCACAATCAACTTTTTTGATAGAAAAATTCCTTATAGTTTTTCACTTGGAGGCTGCACATTTTGATTTCTAAGGCTGTGGGCTTGAAAGAAAACAAAACCTGCAAACAATTATTTTATTACATGAAAGCCAGTACCAAGCAAAGATTAATTCAGTCCAGATGCAAAAATGTATGTGCATTTAAGATTTGGATGATCTCAACAAGCTTTCCCTTTTGTTGGTGAGAGGCTTGCCTGGATCCCACATGGCATTCACAAATTATCCCTAAAATGCTTTTTCTGAGCTCAGAGCAAAGTATCAAGCACCTTCTCTAAAGTCATTTTAATATTGTTTCAAGCATTCCAGATAAAATGTTGTCAGCATTTCAGTAGAGATGAGTTTTCTTTCTACTTATTAATACAGATCCATCAAGCTCTGGGAGGCCGTGTCTTTCACAGGTGGGAAAAGCAGAGATACTCAGAATTGTCTGTAGCCTTATAGGCAAAGTACGGATACATTGGCTTTCATTTATGCAATTTTAATTCTTGAAAGAAAGTTTCAAGTGTGTTCACAGTCTTCAGTAGAATCCTGCTGTAACAACAGTTTGTAGTTTCTGATGCAGTAATTGGTCCTTGTATGATGATCCCCTATTCTCCTCACTCAGTAAGAAACAACAAACAACTCACAAGAAAAAGCCAGTATTTTAACAACCTGTACTCAGAATAGCAGAGGCATAAAGAGTGTATATTACACACTTCAAGTTATATCTTTTTAGGAAGTCTTTGTGTAATTATATAATTACACATTTTGTGAGTTTGTTACATTGTGATTTCACATAAAATTTCACATTAGTGGGAGAACTAATAAAGATTTAGTGGAAAGAATTTTAAGTGGTGAAATTTTAGTTAAAATGTATCTTTCTTAAAATCCAAACAGGAAAAGTGGTATTGTAGGCTTCTGCATCTGAACTTTGATACAGGGAGTAGTTAAGAGGGCTTTTGAGTTCCACATTATACTGAAGGAGAGGCTTTGGGGGCCTATAAAAATAAGTAGGAACAAGTTAAAGGGATAATTTGAAAGAGGAAGTAGAATACTATAAGTTGAATTCCATGGCAGTCTAAAAGAATGAGTATTTAAAAATAAGACTGAAGTAGAGAGATTTTTGTGTCTAAACAGGGAAATTAAGGAGAAACATCTTGGGAGCTGAAAAAATTAGAATTATGATGCGCTTTCAGGTTTGTAGACAGTATGAAATAAATAGGGTGCTAAGTGTTACTTATCCTGGAACTCTTGCCTGTGTTCATTTTGAATCACTAGTTTGGAATTAAAATAATGTTAGGAAAATGGTTGCTTGTTACACTGGCCCCCTTTCCTCTTTAAGCCACTTCCTATTTCAGAGACCCATACATATTTTGTCAGAGCTGTAATGATTCTAGAAATACTTAAGTCCCTCAGCATTTGGGGGAGCTACTGTCTGCCTCCCATACTGTGACCTGTGCTCTGTAGCATTAATGGCTGACATTTTCATACAGTTTGAATAAAAACAAGCAAGCTGTGCCTCCAATTACCTGTCGTGTATGATTTAGTGGTGTAGTTACTGTTGATGCCAAGTTTTGTATCGCTTTTTATATGTTTCAAATGGAGCATTAATGTCGTGTTGATCAAAGAAGGATTCTGAACATTGAAAGGGGGAAAAAGTCACTGATAGACTACTGACTGTGTTACTTCTGGAGAAAAATGTGGTACTGAAACAGATTTATAGAACTAAATTCAGGCCAGAGAAGGCAATATGTATTGGTACTTCTTGGGAGTTGTCTAGTAGAGCAGAGGTTTTCATACCTGCAAGCCTATGTAATAGGAGAACTATTTAAAAAACATTGTTTACAATCAGAATATTTGCACATTAGCATTTATTATAGTGCAACTGTTTGATCTCCTTATATAGTATGTTAAGTAGCAACAACTTTTTTGTGGTCTGGTAGGAAATTTCTGCAGGGCAGTAGTCATTAATGTGATCATTGGGATCATTCTGACCAAAGGTGTCGGTTTGGAAGTATTGAAATTTCATCATACTGGGATATTTTCTAATACAGCGTTTGTGCATATACATTCTATAACTCTGAACCTAATGTTTTACTGGCATATGAAAACAGAATGGAACATGTTATATTAACTTATATCCATAGTTTTGTGTGAAAAAGGAAATCATAAAGGCCAAGCAATTCTGGATGAATGTTTCAGGAAATTAATAAGGGTCCTCATATAGCTTCTCCAAATTCTTTGTTCAGTTCACATGAAATGGAATGTAATTTTCATCCCACAGGTAGGAATGCATGTGCTATTCAATCTCTGCAAGAATATGTGTTTTGTTTGTGTGTGTGATGGAGGGAGCGGAGGAAAGGGTGTAGCTGGTGACATTTCCCTATGGCTTTATTTCTTTGGAATTTGTTGACTTCATATAATCTGGGAAAGGTAAGAAGTATATAGCAGAAATTCATCATATATCTTGGCAACTAACATCAAAATCAAGGAACAGACTATTAACATCTCCCCAACCGACTCCCCTTTGCAAGCATCTCGTTGCTGTCATAATCCTAGCCTTTGGGTAGCTCTATTTGACTTTCCTACCTTTTGGTTAACTTTAACCTGTTTTTACTTGGCATATCATGCATCAAATATGTGTTCTTTGTCATGTCTTCTTCGGCTCAATATGGTGTCTGTCCAGTTTGATGCAGATGACAGTACTTATTTTTCTCTTGTTTTTTTGTAGCCATTATATATGGCTTATTTATTCATTTTGGTGGTTTTGGGCATTATAATAGGGCTTTTCTGTGATTTAAGAAAAAAAAAAAGAATAGCACTTTGGAATTGGGAGTATAACCTAAAGAATAAAAGAAATTCTTCAGAGAAATGAGAGCAAACAGGGTGGTGTCATGAAAACACTCAAAGCCTGCTCCATTTTCATATTCTTAGTATACTGAGAATAAACTTAGTGGATATTGCCAGATTTCACTTGGGAACTGGGAAGCGGAAGGGGACCCTGGATGACCGCTAACCCCGTCCTTTTTTAAAGCTGGAGGGAACAGGTCTCATAAGGTCGAGTGACTCATAGCTAATAGCAACAGTAAGAGAAGCTGCTGCTGCCTCCCCATCTCCTGTCGTGTTCCCCTAAGTGGACTCTGCCAAAGTCCAGGTTGTTAGTAGTAGTAGTCTAGGCTACAGATGGGGACCCTGGGGGCGGGGGGGGGGGGGCAAGCTTTCTGTTTGTTCACGTAAAGATGGTAGAGTTCCCCTGGAGGGCACT